TTAAAAAGAAAGAAAAAAGATTGAAGGTATATTTAACTTTTGTTGTGAACCTTATAAAAAAAAAAAAAAAGAAAGAAAAATAAAAAAAAATTGTTAACATTAAATATATTTAAAAAAAAAGAAAAAAGATTGAAGGTATATTTAGTTTTTGTTGTGAACCTTTAAAAAAAAAAAAAAGTGATTGTTAACATTAAATATAAAAAATAAAAATGGGGATTAAAGTGGGTTGGGGAAAATCCATACCCATTAAAAAATGGGGAGGGTGGTACCCATGGGGAATGGGGAATGAGGAATGGGGAAAATTTATTATAGGGGAATGGGGATGGAGAATTAATATCCACCCCATTGCCCCCATCGCCATTCCTACGGGCTAGTCACAAGATAGTGACTTCCCCATTGCAACTGTTAATTGTGATCATGTGAGTACTCTTTTAAGATAACACATTTTATTCTATGCACTCGAACTGCCATGTATTATTGGCTGTCGAGATACTGTAGGAAATAGGGGTGTAAAATAGCCGACCAACTGATAGGTTTTTTATCAATTTTGGTTCAGTATCCTGCTTTTGTATTTTGGAGACAGAGTGAATCAAAACCAACAGAAATCCCATTTACCCATTTCAAATCCATAATTTAATGCATTAGTGCATGATTATACATAAAGTCCTTGCCAGATCTATCATAATATACTGCAAAACTTATCCTACTCATGAATCTCATTTACTCTCTCTCTCTCTCTCTCTCTCCCCCTCCATTATTTTCTGCTATCACTTCCCTCTGCTCTTCTCTCCCTCTTCCTCATTGGACGATAGGTGTCTGCAGTGCTACTATTTCAGTCCAATGGTGGAATCATAGTCATTCGTGGAGATCTTTAGGAAGATGGTATAGTCAGGATTGGCAGTGTCTTCCATGAAGAAATCAAAGAGGGCAAGTGATTAAGCAAAGGGCAATATGAGAGCAAATGAGAAGCAAAGGAGAAAATTTAGACATAAGGTGTGCTTGGAATTTTTTGTTGGTATTTTTTCTGAAGTACGATTATCAAATTAGAATTCTAAAATTGTTTTGTTCTGATATTCACTATTTATTTTGAATGTTGGGGAAATGAAATTCTGGTTTGATTTGTAAAATTGAAACTTTCTATGCAAATTGGTTTAATTGGTGAAATACATCGTTTAGTTATGTTAAGTGATGTTGGAATTCGGGTTTGAATTGCCAACCTGGTAAAACAACCTGAACTGAACCGCACAATTCAAAAACCAAAAGATCAATTATATGACTAGTATCCATTAGAAGAAAAAAAAGATGGATAGATCAAGCGGAGCTAGCTGAAGGAAGGGCGCTAACACGAGTTAGTTTCTGTGCCATTTTATAGAACTAATGTTGGACTAGGGGGTCGTCATATGTTTTAGGTGAGGTTTTCTAAAAGAGTGTCCACATCACCAACGGTACCATAAGGACAAAACAAAAACGTCTGGACTCTTAACCTCAAAAAGAGTGAGACCCTTCGGTAGGGGGCCACTTTCTCCTATCTTTCAGAAGAGTGAGGATCTTCTACTAGACTAAAACCTCATCCTCACCTCCCACACACCCAAACTGATGTTTGCCACAATTGACTAGCAAGACTTGGGGGCCTCTTGCAGCTTGGTATGAAGCCATAGTGTGGTTTTTAGATAGTTTCATGGCCAATATTGTGTCCAGGGTGTGGTCTTCGAGTAGTGTCATGATCCATTCTGAGAATTGGGAATCATGTGGCTCAGTGGCTAAGAGCATAGTCTCATCAGGGTGTGGATGATGTCTTCACCTCGACCAATCGACGACAGGCAATTATCTTGATATCATCGACACCATAAGATCCTTATCAGATTATCATAGAGAAGAACCCTAACTTGATCACAAATCATTTCTATTTCAATTGCAACACAAGGCCCACTTAAGTACTAAAAGGACTTCAACTTTATCTCAAATCTCTCTTTTTTTTCTTTTTTTATGATAAGTAACTTTACCTCAATCTCCTCTGCTTATAAAAGGAAGGCTCCTCTCCCCATTTGGATCATATATTCACCAACTATTCCTTTGGGTCCTACACTGCTTGTGTTGCTCTTTACCTCTTTACTCACGGTAATCTCCATCATCTCCAACTAAACGTTTGCAGTATTCACTTCTCCAATGCTTACATTTGGACCCTCTACACCAAGAAACATAGAAAAGGCTAATTCCTTGGAACATGTAATAGCCATTAAATGCCATAAACAAGAGGCAAAAGAACACCCAAGAGAATCATTTTTATTCAGCTAGAAAAGTGGGCAAACACCACTAAATGCTGGCTACATCCTATGCTAATATTATTCGGATTGAATTTACAACTATTCTTAGGTTTTAAAAAAAGAAAAATGGTTATACTGTTGAATGCTAGCCACATCCTATGCTACTAGTAGTAGTATTCTGATCGATTTTACAACTTTTCTATGGTAAGGAGGATGTTGTAGCATAGAGCACCAAATATCGCTCATTCTACTACTTTGTTGTCTGTAGTAAATAGCATGTCAGCAATATCATGGTATCATATGATGTAAGTTTGAGGGCAATAACATGAAATTGTTGACATGACAACCCAGCTATAACGGAAAGGTCAACTTTAATAATGTTTCCAATGTTATAGAAGAAAAAAAAGAAGGAAAAAAGAAAGTTACGACAAGAAATTAAAACCACAAGGAGATTTCTATGAAAAAGTGATGCAGAACAAATTTTTGTTGTAAATCAACTTAATAAAATCCTGAACTCTTGCTCTTTAGTACCAGCACGAATTCATTTTTTTAACATTCAACTGGGCCAATCCCTAGTTTAATCCTAACAGCAAATATCCTAGACTTTAATTGTAGATTTTTCAAGATCGGTTTTTATAGGAGTTTCACTTAATGCTACCCTAGACTACAAATTCATCCAATTTTGGTTCTTCCCTTTATAGGTTGCACAAATACCATAAGTGGTGTTTACAGGAGTCACAACATTAATCATATGCATAGAAATATAATACCTTAAATTAAGGAGACAAAATGAAAGCTGGAACAAATATACATTATTAATATAGAAATGTCTGATGTACCAAAAGTTGTATTTGAAAGACAAAGGTACAGAAACAGTAGTCAACACCAGGAAAACAAATCATCTCCAAAATAAGCACATAACAAGGCCTCAATCAACGCAAAACAATACCAGACAAAGCCAATATCACGAGCAGAAACAGTAGCCTATCAATCATCTTAATTCTTCAATACACTATAGGTACAACCACCATCAGAATGACTGCTTAAAATACTAAACTGAAAGACAAGGAAATTTGAAAAATCAAAAGTTGAGCAAACAATCAAATTTCAGCCCAGACAAGTATGAGAATCAATCTGATGATTGTTATTTCATTGAAATGCACTAAGGTAGTGAAAAGAAAGAGATTAACAGGAGAAACTGAATCAAGCAAGAAGAAGATCCAACCAGAATAACCATGCCCTCAGCTTTAGTTTATAAGTTCAATTATAGGCTGCTAACTATAAGTTCACCAATGCATGAAATTATTTTCTAGAGTCCATTAAGCACGTCAGCTATTACCAAGAATTAGATAAAACATTTTCTTTCCATTCTTTAGAGAAAGTGAAACTTGTATATATAGGCTGCAATCCCAAGAATAATGCACAACAGTATAATATCAATACAGAAATTTCGACTGGACCTCAGCTGAAACAAATCAAAACTTTCTGTCAAATCCAGTAAAGAGATCTACGACATAGCATAGCTCTGCAGCACACAAAGTGATGCAAATCTACAGAAAATACAATGGCAGCTCAATCACCTGGTTAACAGTATCCTTTAGTCTCACATTTGTTGTAAAACCCTCATTTTGACTTGGCCATACTGGCATACATTTAAGGACGATCTTGTGTTAATATGTACATTTGCAAATCTTGTCTTGTTTTGCTTGAATGATTGCTTGCATACTTTGTTCTTGCCTGGTGTGTTGCCGAGGTCGTCTTAAGCCTAGACACCTTTGAAACCTTTATCACTTAGAACTATCTTGGAACCCCTTTGGTTGACTTCCACCTTTACCCTGGCATATTGGCCGAGATGTCACCATCTAGGCCGAGGTGCGCGTCGCCTAGGCCGAGATGTGCATCATCTGGGCCGAGATGTTATATCTAGGCGTTCTAGATCCTTGATCCTCGCGTGAGTGATTTTGTTCCTGGGATGGCATGACCTAGACTGAGGTGTGGCACATCTAGGCCAAGGTGTGGCACAGTTTAGTCAAGTGTTGTCCTTCCAAGCCGATGTCCTTGCCCTTTGATTTCCGGAATCTTGTTGTTAGCCGATGTCGTTACTTGCCGTAGTGTTCGTGCCGCCTAGCTTGTTGAGTACACTTTGTCTTGGTCTTGTCTTGTCAAGTCAGTTACCTTTTTGAGTTGAACGAATCAGTCGGTGCCACGTGTCCCGGCAGAGGGATTAAGTCAGTGATTGTCGTGTGAGGCATATCATTTGTATCAATCTTGCCTTTTAGAGAGAGAAGCTCTAGTTAGAAGGAGAAGAAGTTTGAGCTAGAGAAGGCGACTTCCAAGCTTGATCGTTAGAGCTTGAGCCGTTAGATTCGAGTTTTGAGGTTAGAATCTTAACCTATTCTTGTTGTTCTTATTCATCGTCTAGCTGCATTGCACGATCAAACCTGTTCTACACACCATTCATCGATTTAAAGTTGGCTTTAGAAAGAGAAAATGGTTTTCATGTGTTTTTGAAGAAAAGCCTCGTTTGATCCGAAAGTTTGCATCGAAGCTCATGCATTTGTGTTTGTTTTGACAAGATCCTTGAGTGTGAGTACCCAGGTCCACGTTTTTGTAGTTATAGCATGAAATCTTAGCTTTTGTATAGCAAGTTTTGATCTTTGCATTCATCTTCCTCATGTTCATGTTCTTCAAGTTCTTCATGCTCATGTTCTTCATGTTTATCAAGAGGGAAACCCAGATTTTTCCCGACTTCACTTTTGAATGTGGCCATCGAGGCTACACCTCGGCAAGGAGGTGTGGGACCTCGGCCTAGACCTGGTAATTGCCCAGCGTGTTTTTCCAAGGATAAGAAACTGTGTTTCAACTTGATTGACTTAGTTTTTGAAGAACGTCGAGGTCATTTGCATGTAAGCTAGACTTGTTTTGAGTAGTGCATTATACCCAGAGAAATAGGCTCCCTGTGCACGTCTGAGTGCCGTGTCTTTTTGTTTTATCTCGATTCTTGTCTTGAGTCGTTTTTTGAGTGTTTGTGTTTGTGTTTAGGTTGTTTTGCCTTTGTTGTCCGTTGTTGAGTCCTTTTTCACTGTGTTCAGTCGTAGGCTCAATACCCGGTTGAAAACCCTCTCCTCAAATCGTTTTATGCTCAGGGTGCTGTGCCATTCTCCACGTTTGTGCAAAACAGAATTTGTTCTTTCATAAAACCGCAGGGTTCAACCTAGGTCATGTCAGAACAGTAAAACCAGGACCTATCTGAAGTGCTGGAGGACTCTAAACTTTCGCAGCACATCTTGTCTTGAAAGTCCCTTGTGCTAGAGGACTCTAAACTTTCGTAGCACCCTTGTTTGAGATGCCTATCTTGCTTCGTCTTGTTTTGTCACGGATGGTTACTGCGTGGATATGTTTGCTGAAATGTTATTATTTGTAATATGTGATGCTAGTAAGTATTCCTTGAAACTTTGAAGATTTGTTAGAGGGGCGAGGTCTATTCCTGGTTATATATAGAGTTTTGTCTTGTATTGTTTTGAAAGGATTTCGGCTATTATTCATGCAAACCCCTTTATTATTTATACCATTCACTGAGTATCGAAGCTCACCCTCTGTATATATATCTAGGTGATGAACAAGAAGGCGGTGACGCCTAGGTGTGATTTCTGGAGCTTGTTTTGGGTTTTGATTATGTCGGCTTAACCTGCATATTATGTCGGCAGTCTTGAAAATCATGCTTCTCGACTTGTAATATTTGTATTTCGAACACGTCGGCTGAGAAGCCTTTTGATCAAAATGTATATTTTTGCATGACTGTTATGTCGGCAAGGAAGATGTCGGCAACCTGGCAGACTGTGTTCTTAGACCTGTAATTCGTACATTTTGTTTATGTCGGCTTGTAGAGCGCTTTTGCTAATACGAAAAATGTAACCTGCACTTTGCTTGTTTGTAATTAAGTTATAACCTATATGTAAATGGTTGTTATCTCATTTGACTAATGCACAGCTCTTATGGACCACTTGTATTCTAAATTTTTGCTTCCGCACTTGTGAGCCCCATATATTTATACTCGGTATGTGTGTGAATTTTGTCAGTTGGCCTTCGGTAATCTCGGATTACTGGCCATCACGGCACCAAACTACTAGGGGCGGTTTGGGGTCGTGACATTGGTGTTCTTAAGGTCAGATGCTGCCTTGTCGACCTGTAAGATGTGAAGAAATACACCATTAATAATTTAAGAATACTCGTAGCTTCAGATATTACCAGGACAGGACAAATTCTCAAACCTTAGCGTCAATGTCATCCATTAAAGGAACTTGCCAATCCATTTCCTGTATGAATTGCAAAGTCATAAATTAATGTGCACAAAATGGGACAAAGCAACAGATACAAATGCACAAGGCAGTAGCAAACCTCATTCAAATCATGGGCCATGTTTTTCAATGTATCCAAACCTTTGGATATCGCTTCCAATCCTTGGTCCCGTGTGAACATCAAAGTAAAACACATTATTTTTATTTTTTATTTGAAATCAATAGAACAATGAATGCAGAAACCACAGAAGAACAAATCCTCATTAGAAAGAAAAAAAAAATCATATTTCCCTCCAATTAAAAAAAAGAAAGGTATTCCACTCTAAAGAATTACATGCCTGCCTGCTTCATTTTCCGCATTTCATATTCTTGCCTGAATTGGCTGGACTCTTCTGTTTGCTGGAAGTATTCACTGTTGAACAGTCCATCTATGATCCAAATAAAACAAATAATTGAACAACAAATCTCAAGAGCCTCCCAGAAAAAAGAAAAAAGGAGGGAAAAAAAAGAGTAGAATAAAGGCAACCAATCACCTGAATCAAACTTGATTTCTGTGTGGGAAGCTGAACCTGTCCAACCTCCAGATTGTTTGGGAGCAGCTGCAGTCCCATCTGGTATGGCTTGAATCCTATCTGGCAGAGCAAGGACCAAATCATTACGGGCAGCAAGTTCTTCTGTCAAAAGCCCCTTAACCTGAAAGTAAGATTTATTATTGATGCAACATCTGTCAAATGGTTAAACAAATCTAAAAGGCTTTAGAAGCTTAAGACAAAGGCCATGGGTACCACGGTTATCAAGACGCTTTTGCAGTCAAAAGGAAGGGGCCCATGGAAGTTTTGAAAGTCTCCAATTATAATAATATGAAGTTTGTTTGGAAGTAGCTGGACAGATTTACATGTAATTTAAATCCCAAAGAGTTGGCCGAGCAGTAAACACTTGAGGATAATTTATTAGGTTCTAAGGGTCGAGTTGAGCATATTTTAGTACTGAACACAAGTCATGAGGGTCACCAATGAGTCGTATTATGGTTGAAGTTATGTTTTTGGGTCTTTCCTATAGTTTTCAGTTGGTTTACAATATTTTAATCAATAAGGTTTATCATTCTTATTTGTGAGTCAAAATTCATAATGGAAATACAAGAAATATAGCATCCTACAAATATCAGTGTGTTTGGTTTCAGTTTTCTGAATTCAGTTTTTTGAAAATTGAGTTTTTTATTTTTCATATTTTTTTATTTTTAGTGAATATTTTTAAAATTTTAAGTAATTTTTTTACTTTTTTAGATGACCTTACTTAGATGTATCTAAAATAGTAAAATATTTGTGAAAAATATTTTAAAAATTTAATAAATACACAAACATACAAAAATGTACTAAATTTTCATATTTTTTTTTGTATTTTTTGGTATTTAGTGTATTTTTTAAAGATTTTCTTCACAAATATTATACTTTTTAAGTGTATTTATGTTAAGTGTGTCAAAATCTTTTGTAAAAATGCTTAAAATATTAAAAAAATTCATTGAAAACATTAAAATACGAAAAATAAAAAAGTAGAATTTTCTGAAAATTAATTTCTGAAAACTAAAACTAAACAAGCTGACAAATTTTTTTTTTTTTTTTGGATAAATAATCAAACCATATTAAAATTCTACAAATTCTATTGTAATTCCTCAATTCAATGGAGTTGAGCTCTAGAGAATTGGAGATTATATTATATATTTTTTGTGTTTTGCTTCACCCTTATCGGGGTATGCTTTTCTTGCTTCCTCTACTTTTCTTTTTCCTTCTTATTTTCACAAAAACTTAAGTTAGCATTCACAGGTCACTGTTCACAGTCCTCGAAATGGATATTTCAACCCCAAAACCCTAACAAATCAAGCTTCAAAAATTCAACAGGCTGTCACTTTTGAAACCCAACCAAATTTAGAACATTCTAACATAAACTTAGAATCATAAGTTCCCCTAAACTGTTGAACAATCAGCTGAAGTCAACCTCAGTTCTATGATTTCAAAAATATCACATAGCCACAAAATTCAAATTCAATAAAGTCAAAGTAAATTATCAAATTATACATTTCTACTATAAAATTAACAGAATAATTTCAAAGAGATCGAACCTTTTTTATAGCTAATCTCTCCAATTTAGGGACTTCCTCAAGCAATCGAGTTTTGGTGCGTCGAATCTCGGCATTGACAGCAACCGCAGAGGCCCTACTTTTCTCGCTCGATGCCGCCTCCGCTTTCTACAAAATCAAAAAATCAAAACCTCCAACTGCAAAAATAAATAAAATAAAATAAAAAAAAAATAAAAATTCAAACGCAAGCCCTACGAAAAAGAACTTTTTGAGATAGACCTGAAGAGCGGCGTCGATGTCGGAGGCGACGGCGGAGTAGAGGCGGGCGAAGGCATCGTCGGCGGCGGAGAGGTTGAGATGTTTCTGCTTGTCGAAGTCATACTTGTCGTATTTCTCACAGATCGCGTCGACTCTCGTTAGGATTTCAATCACACTCATCTCTCTGGTTTCTCTTTTTGACTTGTGCTTCTCTCTCTCTCTATATATATGTTTTTGTTTACTAGTTGATGGATTGTGGGGGATCACGTAGATGGGAGTAGAGAGAAAATAAAGGTTAGCTAGTGAGAGAGAAAGTCACTTATTTGCTGGTAGTTGTATTTTAAATTTGTGAATTTTATAATTATAATTTAAATGAGAAAAATTTATTTAGTTATGAATTTTAAAAAGAATTTGAATTGAGTGATGTGACATATAATATTGAGTGTTTTGAAAAATAGATGTGAAATTAATTTTTTAGAACTATAATAAAATAACACATTCAAACTGAGGCCTCGTTTGTTTGGGGTTATAGGGAAGGGATTGGGATTACCAATCTCTTGGTATTACTAATGAGGGTGTTTGTTTTGAGAGATGGGGAGGGGACTATTAGTCCCTTGGTATTAGTAGTCCCCTTGGAAGGGGGATTGGTAAGGAGGAGGTAGAGATGGTATTAGAAAAATAGTGAGGGGATTAGAAAATTTTTTATTTTTTTTATATTGAGAATTTTTTTTTAAATATAATGTTTAATTTTTTATTTGTTTTATTATTTTATATAAAAATAATTTAACAATTCCTCACTATTAATCTCCTCACTATCAATCCCCTCACTGACAATCCCGTCACTATTAATCCCGTCACTATCAATCCCCTCCATTCTATCTCCCAAAACAAACGGGGCCTCAGATAGAATTAATGGCTGGTTTGACATGTTTGAAAAAAGTCAAAAAGTCACTATCATATTTAAGTCATATCATCTTATTTAAATCATATCACTTCAAACACAACACAAACTCAATTCATATTTTATAAAAATTCAAAAGTACACTTATTCAGATCATCTCAACAATTCCTAAATTTCAAAAACTCCACCAAACAAAAGTTTTTTTTTTTTTTCTTCCTGATTTCTAGTTAGTTGTAGGGAGGAGAGACAGCTTGCTTTGCAAAAGGAATGAAACTACAGGCTGGTCTGAGAGCATCAGAGTGGAATAGCTAAAAAAATTTGTGTTAAAAGGTGTATTATATGACAAAATAATAGAAGTAGGGTTCAAAAATATATGTTAAGACCATCTCCAACGCTTAATCAAACTTGGCATCAAATTTGAATTTTGGTGAAAAAGTCACTTTTTGGTACTCCAATGGTTTCAACAAACAAGTATCAAAATGACAATTTAGCAAATAATTCATCAAAGTGAGAACAGGATGCTCCTTTCACCAATACACTGTGCATAGCCGTTAAAGTAGAAATTTGTCAAATTTTTACAGATGGTGGTCGACCACCTGGATGTCCACCTGGTCGACCCCCTAGTCGACCACCCGGTTGACCAACCGGTCGACCAGCTTCAGTAAATGGTTCAAAAATTGGTAGGTTCAAATAGTTCAGAGACGTAAAAAAAAAAAGAAAAAAAAATTGCCTTACCGGTCGACCTGGTCGACCGACTGGTCAACAAACCGGTTGACCCACGTATAGCGATCCTGGTTTCCCTTTTCTTTATTTGTTATATCCGGACTTAGGTTCCGTGGAGCTGGTTGTTGAGAGTATGTTGTTTGCACCCTTTAATCCTTATATTGAGTCTTGGGCTGTGTTGAGAAGATTTGGAGTAGGTTGTTAAAGTAGAAATTTGTCAAATTTTTACAGATGGTGGTCGACCACCTGGATGTCCACCTGGTCGACCCCCTAGTCGACCACCCGGTTGACCAACCGGTCGACCAGCTTCAGTAAATGGTTCAAAAATTGGTAGGTTCAAATAGTTCAGAGACGTAAAAAAAAAAAGAAAAAAAAAATTGCCTTACCGGTCGACCTGGTCGACCGACTGGTCAACCAACCGGTTGACCCACGTATAGCTATCCTGGTTTCCCTTTTCTTTATTTATTATATCCGGACTTAGGTTCCGTGGAGCTGGTTGTTGACAGTATGTTGTTTGCACCCTTTAATCCTTATATTGAGTCTTGGGCTGTGTTGGGAAGATTTGGAGTAGGTTGGTTGAGCTTAGGAACCAGTCTAGTTGCCCAGATTTGGCTTGTCCGCTCGAGCGGGGGTTTGGGTGCTCGAGCGGGGAATACACCCATCCAGTATGTCTTGTGAGTGATTGTACGCAAAATCGAGCGGAAAAACAGGTTAGGAAACCGCTCGAGGGGAGGTTGTGAGTGACGCTCGAGCGGAGAGTTTGGGCGCTCGAGCGAGGACCTGTCTGCAAAACTTCTGGGAGTGTTGCATTCCCGCGGATAACGAAGCGGGAGTCTGTGAGTGGCGCTCGAGCGGGGTTTCCACGCTCGAGCGGGGCGACTAGTATAAAAATCCCGAGACCCGACTTTCTGGATCATTTTTCATCTCCCTTTTGATTCTAAAACCCTAGAACCGTCTTCTCCCTCTCCCTACACACCTTCTCTCTTAGGTTTGATCTACTTAGAGTGTATTTCTACCCTAAGTCCTTTGTTGAAAAGATAGAGTGGGTCAAGGGCTTTCATTTAATCTGAACGTTTGGTGGTTTGGAGCACTTTGGAATTTGGGTCTTCATCTCCGTTTTCTCCTTTCGGGTTACTTTCTTCAAGGTTGGGATTTCCTACTCCATCTTATAAGTTTTGTTCTAAATTTTGGTATTTTGATATGTTGGAGATACTTTGGTAATTTTGGGAAAAACCCTAGTTGTATTAATAAATTAATTTGTAAAATTAATTTAAGGAAATTGAGAAATTCATTGATTGAATTGTTGATATATTTATTTACAGTCTAAAAATAACTGTTTTGGGCTATCGGTGGAGGATTGTAACGCCCTCAAAAAATAAACCCATTATATAAAAATATATCATTGACATGCATTATTTAAAGAAAACAATTTATCAATTCATTCATCAGAGTATTACTAAATAGAAGCATTACATGTAACATCGAATAAAATGCCCTACAGGCTTACATCCTTCCAAGCCAACACTTGGACACAAAACACGAGTTCTAACTCAATACAAGAAAAGCCCTGGGCTTGAATGTTTACATGTACTAATTAATAAAGACAATTAACTAAAGATAGTCTTCTTCAAAATCCAGAAACCGAACCCTCCCAAGCTAAGTCCTTGGAGGTAGCTTATCACCTGAACCTGAAAATGATGTTCCCATAAAGGGTGAGCCACAGCCCAGTAGAAATATACTAAACCACATATAAGCAATGAATAAAGCAATAGCATTCAACAGATGGTTAACCAAGATAATCAATTACTACATTTTACAGTCTCATGACACTATTATCTAAGACACGTTTTACTTTCCAACTTTATCAACATGGCTCAGAACCTGGCCAAACTTACAACAGTGAATTATATATATCATATTCACATCCTTCCAATATCAACAAACAAATGAGAAGGAGTCAAAACGAAATGAAGAAGCAAGGCCTCAAA